ACTTGTTGAGGCGGCTGTTGAGGCGGCTGTTGTTGCTGTTGTTGAGGCGTCGGTTGCTGCTGCTGCTGCTGCTGCTGCTGTTGCTGCTGTTGGTTTCCCAGAGGACAACTCGGAGAAATCGCGTTCGGGCTGCCGGTTGCTGCCACGGAAAATGGGATTGAGCAATTCGCTTCCGGTTCAATATGATATCTCCCGGCGCACCGTGGAGTGGAACGAGGCGGATACGATACCTTGACTTTGTTGAGACATCCTGCGCTCTTGGATTATCGCCACGTCCTCTCTGGTCATGGTTCTACGCGGAACAAGGGAACGATTAGTCACAAATCTTCACGTAGAACGCGCTAGGTGAACTCAACGTACCTGTAGCCCATGTCTTCGTCGTACTGAGCGTTACCCTGTTGCTGTTGTGGGAAAACGGGTTGCTGTTGCGTGGTCGATCCCACCGAAGGTGCGAGGCTTCTCGATATGTTGCTCCCATTGCTGAGCACCTGGTCAAACCGAAAGGATTAACGAAAAGGATGAAGACCGGCGAATCTCGACAAATTTCGAATTTCATTCGGCTCACATCGAGCGCTTGCAGCATCGCCCTGGCGAACGCGTCCGCGTCGTCCTTGCTGGAAAAGTTCAGGCCGTACACTTGCTTGTTGTCCCTCCATTGGTGAAACGTGACCGTCGCTTGATTGTACTTCAATCCCTTGAGGATCGCGCAGTTGATGACGATCTCGTGATCCTGCAGCTTCCGACCGACCACCCGGAACGTGTTGTTCACCTGATGATGGTACAGCTGGACCTTGGAGAGTCCCGAGGAACTCCCGCTCGGTACCCATTTCTTATTCATGTCGTCGTACACCATCACCGACGCACGAGCGGACGATATGCTCACCTCGCTGGAACAACGAACAAAGAGAACGATATAATAGGATCGTTCCTTCGCGTTTCTTTCGATCCGGCACACTTCGAATCTCCGAATCCGAACATTATCCAAAGGAGAATAAACGTCGCTGTCCTAAAAGCTGAAAAATCAGGGTGGCGAGAGGACCACTTGCACTCGCGACGTTCGGGCCGCCTCGGTCCTCCACGCATGGTCATTATCGGCGCGCGGCAATAACAAAGGATGCAAGCGAGACCAAATGCAACGGAGTGAGACGCAACGAAGGGGACGAAGTTGGCGGCACTACGAATTTTATTTTCCACCGTCACACATCTCACTCCGCCGCATTCGGTCTCGCTTCCGTCCTTTGTTATCGCCGTGCGGCCAATAACGACCATGCGTCGAAGACCGAGGCGACCCGAACACCGCGAATGCCACTGTCCCTTCGCCTCCCCGACTTTTCAGCGTTTAGAAGAATCGACGTATTTCCCTCGCCGGACAGTACCAGGATCCGTGTTCCCCTCGACACGGCGGGAATCGGCGACGATCGAAGGAACGCCGTTCGGACGTCGCTCGGCTCATCGTTCACGCTCGCCCCAGAAAAATCGCTGTGAGCAACGGAGGAAGAACCAGCGGAAGAACCAGCGGATTTCATCGAGAACGCTGTTACGCTCGATGTCACTTTCACCGTGCCGCGGACCGAGTCCAGGCACAGCCGTTGGGCGGGATTGCTCGCGAAACCAGAACAGAATCGAGCGAAATACGAAAAGATACTGACCGCTTCCTCTTGCCGAGCCGTATGACTCGCCCGTTACGATAACGAGCGAACCAATACGCGCGCAACCATATTTTTTTTTTAGCCGTGCACATCCTGTGCGTGCACGTCCAATGCAGGACTCGCTTCCGCGAGTCGAGACACCTTTCGGAATATTTTCATTTCGTTCCGAGCCACCCACCGCTCCGCGCCTGAGGCTCGCAAAAACGCTGTCCTCGTTTCGTTCGGTTCGCTTTTCGAATTGATCTCTCGCGCTGCACGATCTCCTTCGATTCTGTGTCCCGGGATCGATGGAATAATTTGGCTGAATGCAATAATCGCAACTGAATCGTGTCTAATCATTGTCCGAATACAGAATCTTCATTGCTCGAAACTAATTAGAATTTTTCATTTAACCGACGAACGTAAATGTTCCAGTGAAAATATCTAGATAAGATACTAAACAATTAACACGTTGTCTGCCACAAGAATGTTGAGCGTTTTAAAGCTCACGCTTTTGTAACAGTATCGAATGATACTAAAAATAATTACTACTAATCTGATATCACAGTACTAATGTTACCCTATTATCTGGTTACTTATGTTACTGAATATTTTTATTCGACATGAATTTCCTTATTGTCATTGTTCTCGAGCGATTCGGAAGTTCCCATCGTCGATGACCACCGTGGCGGTCAACGTGTTAATAATAGTTCGCTCTTATCTGTGTATCTTCACCGCATGAAACACCGAAGCTTTTTCGCGGCGGTCGACGAGCCATCGAGACCAGCGCGCAGAAGTTTCCCGTGAAACCTTTCGACGCTTTCGCGGCGAGCCTTATCGCAGTACGATCGACTAACATGTCCGGAATTCTATCTACCCGTAGAGCGCGATACAAAGAAGATATTAAATGAGCTGTCGATCCGCGTAATCCGAGGACTCAGTGCTCGATACGGATGATTCGAGGATGATTCAGTCCTCGAGCGCGATTGCCGAGAATTTCGATGACAACTCCGATCGCATAAGCACACGGATGCATCTGGGATCTAGTTTCTCGTTGAAATTCTTTTATCCTAGATGTATCTGCGCACGAAACTCTCGTATAACGCGGTTAATACGTTACATATTGTATGAGCTCGTTACAGGAAGTAATACTGTACGAGATTTTCCAACGCGAATAATAAAAGCAACATGTCCCAAATGATTATTTATTACCATGTCAACTCTTATTTTCTGTTTCAAAATGCAAGAATTAACCCTTTCCACTCGGACGTTTTTCGTTAGAAATATTCACGTATTTTCTGATGAGATGAAGATATTCCGTGAAACCAACTCGAAGAGAGATCATACGTACATTGAGTTATGAAGCTATTTTATTTGAATATTCCTCGAATTGATGCGTAATATGAAGTATAATGTTAACACTTTGAATGTCATGAAAAACTATTGTTTTATGCATCACTTATTCCTTTGTAGTAAAAATTATCAAAAAGCAACAATTATCAACTACTTGGTACACACTTATTAGGTTGCACTATGATCAAGTTATTCGCGTTATTAAACCTTTCCGGACGATTGTTGGAAGCATACAAAACCTTTTGCAGATTCTGCTAAATTAAACACTGAATGCTCAAATCATAGACAATAAAGAAACTATTCACTGATTTCTTGCTGTTTGAATAGTTAAATCATTTGTTCGTAACTTGGTGTTTCAAACATGGAAGTTTGATCTCAGCAAAATGCCGACATTCGTCTGCAAAGGGTTAAACATTTCCATTCAACCCTAGTTATCTTACGAATTATTATTTTCAAGTAATTTGGAAGCTCCGGTCATCGGTGACCGTCGTGGCAGTCAACGTGTTAACCCTTCGCGAACGAAGATTCTTTGAAACATATAAAACCTTTAGTACATCAAGCTAAATTATCAATTTCTTAATCAGTTAACTGTGTTTGACGAGTATACACGTCATCTTAAAACTCTTAATGGTGCTAACTTTTTCAACCATGGATTATTTATTTTTTAAGACAAATATATAATTCTTCTCCGTTTCGCTTTAGTTTTTCGTTAGGATACATTTTAAGTTCATTTCGCCTGTATTTAACGAGTATACACTTCATTATTTGATTTTATTGCGCGCCCAATGAGAGATTTTTCAAACTAAATTCCACGCTTAGCTGGTTAATTAATAGAAAAAAAGGGAAACTGCGCGCTGATCTCTCGCTGTTCGACTAATTAAATCATTGTTCGCGATATAGTCTTCCAAACACAAAAATCTCATCTCCAGAATGTCCGCAGAGGTTTAAATATCAAGTTTTACAGTTGCACTGTACGAAATCAAGCGGCGAGAGTCACCTTTCGAGTGAAAAGGGTTAAGCAAGGGATAATCGGCACCACCGAAGAGAACTGTAATTCTCAATTTACTGTTATTTTTACATATCACGTTACACGAGGAATTACGTTAGATGAAAACGGTAAATCTTCGGCGCGTTATAAGAATTTATAAGGAAGTCTACTTCACCACCCTTCCAAAATAAGCGTCCGCGCTATCTACTTTTATCTCATGTAAACAGAAGACTGATTTTAACCCTTTGCACTCGAAAGTTCTTCACCGGAAATATTTGATATTTCTCGACGAGATGTAGACGACATTGTTTGAAACTAATTTAACGGTAATTCACAGATGAATTAAGCGACAAAGCTATTTTGTTTAAATACTTCCTATAGCAATGCAAAGTTTAATTTAAAACGCTAAATATTCAACTTCTTAGTTTTGCTGTATCAAATCAAGCGACTGAGAGTCACCTCTCGAGTGCAAAGGGTTAACACTAGAACTACCAGATGGGTCAACCCATTCTTCGTTTCTTCTTTCACAATTACTGGAAAGGTACAAATGCTTCTCTGAGAAACCGTTAAAGAAACTGATTTAGCGATATCTACACTGAAATATAAGCCAATTGAAATCTTAACACTAGATTTACGGAAATTGAGTATACCGTTTGTTCTATTATTTTCAGAAAGATCGATACTCGTTCATTTAGATCTTGGAAATTAGAGATTTGATAGTAGATAATTAGAACAATCAAAACAACAATCAAAATTGACATAAACATTTACCAAATAATGTTTATAAAATTCAGTATTAGTCAAATTGATTAATACCGTAAATCTAATGTTAATAAACAGAAAATTATGTGTTTTATAAAGAAATTCAGAAAAGTCAATTTAACACTAGATTTACGGAATGAGTCAAGTTGACTCATATTAAATTTTCTAAACATTATTTACTAAATGTTAGAGTCAATTTTGATTGAAATGCAAATATGTATTCCAATCGTTTACTTTTAACACGTTGAATGCCGCACGATTCCATACAGCAAAATACACGAAATGGAAAAAATATAATATTAAAACATTTGATTAATTTGCATTATTGTTATTGCATATTCGTCAAGAATATCACCGCATTAGATAGTAATCTTTATACTATACAAATGTTTACAAATAATAATCGCTTAATTGAATGAACGTAGTCTGAATTGAATGTAGTCTTTCGATCTGGGGGGGGTCACCAATGACCCCTACAGTATTCACTGTATTAAACTTCTAATTTCCAAGATCTAAATGAGCGAATATTTTTCTAAAAACGATACAACGAACTGTATACTAAATATCCGTGAATCTAATGTTAACTGCTTGGTAGTTCTAGTGTTAACACTTTCATTATGATGCAAAATGACATGAATGCTACAACATTGAAATTTATCAGCCACATGTCATGAATTTAATTCTATATAGCCTGAACCCTTAGCACTTCAGGTTGTTTTGTAATCTATCAGCAACTGCAACTAATTTTTATAGTATTCCTAGCGAAAATGAGAAATTCTATAACGTTCCTTCGATCTGTTACTTTCCTTCTCAGTGGAAAATTTGAATTTGTGGAAAATCCAATAATTTCAGGGTAGTTTCTTTAAGGTTCATTAAAATATTTAATATTATAACTGATGCAATAGTGGAGCCTACAAAGTTTAAAGGGCTAATCTTTTGAAATTATCATGCACTTTAACTCTCAGAGTGCATTTGCATTTTTTCTATTTCACTGGACATATTCCATTGACATACTTATAACAGTTCTTGCAATTGCAATTCGCGTAGGAGATTGTTTTAAAAGATACCATATGTCAACTAATTTCAAATTACAATTTGTCTTCACAAGCAAATAAATAAACTCATTACAATCGTATTTTTTTCATTTAATCGAATTGACTTATTTCGTTCTATAAATTAACTTGGACCTGCCTACTAGCACTCTAATAAAATCAATGGACCGCGAAGGATTAACCCTTGCACTCGGAGGTATTCCGTTAGAAATATTCAACATTTTCTAACGAAAGACGATATTTTTTTAAATCAACTCAAAGAGAGATCGCAAGTAAATTGAGAAACAAAGCTTTTTTATCCCAATATTTCACACACCGATACACAGTTTAGTATTGAATATCAAATTTTATAATTTTACTACATCAAATCAAATGGCGACTGAGAGTCACCTCTCGGGTACAAAGGGTTAACCAGTTAACTGTGTCTGACGAATACACACGTCATCGTAAAGCTTGACATGATACTAATTCTTTCAGCGATGAATTCATTATTTTTCTCACATAAACATGTAATTCTTCTTTGCCTCGCTTCGATCGTTCATTAACCCTTTGAACTCTGTAGGCTCTAATATAGCACCAGTTCTAATGTTAAGTATTTTAATGAATTTTAAGAAAACTACATTAAGATTATTAGATCTTCCAAATATACAAAGTTTGTACTGAGAGGGGGATTAAAGGTCTAAGAAATATTATAACATTGTTAATTTTCAGTAGGACTGCTATCAAAATTGGTAGGGGTTGCTGACATATCACAAAACTACGTGGAGTGCTAAGGGTTGAAATATACTCTACGTGCATTCATCCTGCGTTCGACGAGTACACGCTCCATTTTTCGACTTTATTGCTCGCAGAACGAGAGATTTTTACAACTAAATTCCACAGTTAACACATTACCGGCAAATTTTCAGAAAACTGAATTGCAGATGGCAATTTTCACTGAGGTCAACTTATATCACTATACATAGAAAAACTCAGATATCATATTGTTATGAAATATATTTTATATAGATAATCAATTCGAGTTAAATTTTATATTTTTTCAATGCTGTGGTAATTAGTGAAGTTGCATAGCTAAGTGTCTTTATATAAAAACGAGATTTCTTGTTACCGGTACGCAATGTGTTAACACTAGGTTTACGGGCATTTATTGTACACTTCATTCTATTATGCCTAAAAGAATTGATGCTCCTTTATTTAGATTGTGGAAACTGGAGATTTGATAGTAGGTAACTGGGGTACATGTCAGTGTGATCGCATCAATCAAAATCGGCGTAAACATTTACGAAATAATATTTCTAAAATCCAATATGCGTCAATTTGACGCGTTCCGTAAACCTAGTGTTAACTGGTCGAAACTTCTATCCGCGAACGCGTGAAAACCGGCGATTCGTGCCGGTCAACGTGTCGATCGCCGGAAAGTACGTCGAACCGAAGCATCCAGAGCCGCCGCGATCGAGGGATAATCTTTAAGCGGCAGCGTAATTGGGAAACACGCGCCTGCGTGGAAACGGACGCCCCGTCGAACATAAACAAACGCGTGACACAGAATTTTTTTCGGCGTCGCGTTTCCCTCGGGCCGTCGACGTTCGCGAAGCGTGGAACACCGTCGTTCGGATACCGGGAGAGCCGTGGCGCCGGGTGATGCACACGCGCCAAAGTAAAAAGAAAACGCACGGACGGGACGACGTGCGACGGGGAAGGAGGACGACGCACCGTTTCGGTTTAGGATGCACATAAAGGACTTCGGCACGCGAGACGCGGACCGCGACCGATGTACTCTCGCGCATCCCAAAAAACGAATTCCCATGGGACGTTCTTTCGATGCTTCGACTCGACTTTGTCTGGTCGGTTTATCCCTCCGTTCGATCGCGTTTGACTGATCGAATGGAGAAACTCGAATGGATCCTGTTCGCGGAGTCACTCCGAATCTTATTTTAATGCGCCCGCGAAGGCCGGGTCACTGGTGACCAGTGCCCAACAGTACCACCGGCGAACGGATAGGAAATATCGGATGACAGCGTCCGAACGCCGTCGCGAATCTGGTTTCACAGTGTACACCATAGATGTTCGTGTTACGGGTTGCGATTGATCAGGGGTCTGTAGCGTTGATTGTCAGACGGAGCCTCGTCGATAGGTTAACGGGTAGAGTAAAAAATTCCCGGGGAACGATGGGGAATGCGATCGTTGATAGGAACGGGGAAACGTAGAATGGG